TAAATAAATAAATAAATAACAGGTACCCTGGGCCTAAGCCATGGAGCGCTTTAAAGGTCATAATTAGTACCTTGAATCGCACCTGGAAGACAACCGGCAACCAATGCAGGCCGCACTGGTTGAAGAGCTATTACCAAAGAAGAGCTATTACCAACTTTGGATTTCATCTTTTTACTTAACTTTCTATCTTCCTAGCCTTGTTGTAGATTCTTCAAGGAGTTTGAAAGTAAATTTGAAGACAATTAAGTTCATTGTGGCTCTCAATCTTTCCCTTGGCTAAGCATTTTAAGCATTAACACCAGATATGTCATGCTAACCATGTACGTATATGGATCCTTTATGAAAAAAGTACTTCATTATGAATAAGCTTCCGTTTTTACTTTCTAGAACAAATTTATAGAGAACACACTTACAGAAAACAATTCCCTGAAAAAATAACATAGACACTTATTTAGTTTGAGCATTGCCCTGGAAGTTTATTTAGATTTGTTTCACATCAGGCCAGCGAGTCAAGTAAAGAAATATGCACCATTTGCATGCATATGAATTAGTATCTATTTAAGATTGAAACGTAAGTAAAATATCCGGATATCACTATGACAAATATATATGCTATTTCAAAACAACTATTAAGACATGAAGTTAAAAAAGATATTTTAGGATTGGAGAAACTGAATTGTCATTGATGGAGATAATTTCTGTGAAAAAAGTAGATCACATTTTTAGAATGATGGTTTTGTTTCAGAAAATCCAGAGTTTTGACAGACAATGCACTATTTAAATCAGGGGTGTGAAACTTGATTTCACTGAGGGCCGCATCAGGGTTGTGGTTGACCTCTGGGGCCAAGGTAGGCGTGGCCAGTTTCCCTGCCTCCCTCCTCATTCCCATCTCCTTCCCTTCTTCCTTCCTTCCATTTTGGCTATAATATACAGATAGAACAAAGGGAAAATATATGACTGAAAAGATTGAAATTTACATTGTTATAATCTTAAAGAGAATTTTTACAAAGGAATGTACCACTGGAATATATCAGCAGAAAAATTGTCTAGAATGTATAAAGGCACTTCAAATATATGTTCAAAATGTGAACAAACAGATGTTTTATCATGCTTGATGCATGCATTAAAAAGCTAGAAAATAGATTCAGTGGATTTTAAAGATGAATATAAAATTTAAAACTAAAGTACACTTTACTTTAGCACTTTGTTTTTGTATATGATATGATGTTTTTGTATATGATCGGAGGAATGTGTTTGTATAGCCTGGAGGCCAGAAAAGAAAGGGGGACATGATTGAAACTTTTAAATATATTAAGGGTGTGAATATGGTTCTAGAAGGCAGAATTTTCAATATTAAGCAAAAATAAAGAACATAGGGGCATAACTTTAAACTGCCAGGAAGTTCAAAAGTAATGTTAGAAAGTATTACTTTACAGAAAGAATAGTAGAAGCTAGCTTTTAGCTGAGGTAATGGGTTAATCATCAGTAACTGAATTTAAACATGCTTTGAATAAACACCTATCCATCATCGCTAAAAATAAAAAAATAAATGAAAAAGACAAAAACAAACTAACAAAAAACCCAAAGGGAAGACTCAATGGACCAGTAGATCTTTTTCTGGCATCAGCTGTCTATGTTTCTATAATTGCAGCAAGATTAATCTATGCACAAAGATGGAAAGACTGGGCAATACCTATAACAGAGGAATGGTTAGTGAAGATAATGGAAATTGCCAAATTATCTTCTTTGATGAGAGAAAAGAAATATCTACATTTATCTCTGACAGGAAATCCATTATGGACTTTTTGGGGAAAAGAGAAAAAAATGAACATATGATTTATAGTTTTGATCACTAGGCAGGATAGATTAAAATAAGAGAGAAATATCACAACTTTAGATAAAAAGGTAAATTTATAATTATTCTTAAAACTGCTGCAAAGAAGATTAGAAATCACTTCCTAGTATCTTATTTTTCTTTTCTATTTTTCTTGTATTTTTTCCTTTCTTGCACTTCTAATTTTCTATTTGATTTTTTTCTTTATTATTAGCTTGTATTAGCTTTATCTTTTAAAAAATGTAAATAAAATTATAAAAGAGAAAAATGTATCCAATCTGTGCATAGTTTCCATAAATTTTATTTAGTCATTGTGCCTACAGTATGTTCTATGGCAGCAGTGGACAATTTTCCCAAGGGGCCACATGAAAAACTGGGTCTATTGTGGAGGGTTGCCACCATCCTGCTCCCAATACTACTGCCACCCTGTCTCCCCCCACCCAACATTATAGGCCAGAAAGAGGCAACCCGTGGGTCAGATGTGTCCTATAAGGCTTAACATGCCCAAGTTGAGTCTACAAGATTGCTTTGCAGATAGTTTAAGCATGACTGTGCATCTTCAGACCCAATCATGACATATTTTTGCCAAAGTCTCCTGAGAAGCTTGTACAGAGGCTCCTAGTAGGGACAACAGTAGTTGCATTTTCTTTGATATTTCTGATACTATGTTTAAGATTTGATACAATAATTGCAAAAGTCTTAACACATAATTGAATGCAAAATAATAAAATTAATTCACTGTGATTTTTACCATCACTGTCTTGTAACTGTTAATTACATATTTTCAGGTTCTCTGTATAATTCAGATTTAGCACTTCTGTATTGTGAAAATATATTAGGAGTAGTTTCACATGTAATTTTATTTACTGAATTCTTTTCAAATCTCTTTTTCAGATTTGATGAAAGCAGCAATTGGATTGTAAACTGTATTTCATATGTTATCGATTATTCTGACTACTTTATCCACAATCATAGATAAAAGGATAGAAGTACTATGTTTTCTTCCCACTAGTAATGCAAACTTACACCTTCTACTTACTCTCATTTCCTATTTCTCATAATAGCATTATGGAAACTGGCATACTCTCTGTGCACTTGGGAATGTCTAGTTCATGTCCTGGTCCTTTTTTTGCCTGCTTGTTAAAACTTCATTGGTTTTGAAACCCATCTATTAAAGATATATGCATATAGTTCCTGTAGAAAGCCAGCATGGCATGGCATGTTATATGGTGCTCAATCTTTCTACAGATGTTATAAAGAATATATAATGAGTCTGTGTATGTTTCAGTGTACCAAGATTGTAGGATGTAAGGCAAGAACATAGAAAAACGCTGCAAATTCAGTTTCTCAATTGGGAACACAAAGATTTTGACTTGAATAGCATTTGGGCGTGAAAGAATATCCAGATCCCTGGACTCATTTTTTCAATAAATTTTTAAAGTCTCAAAAACACTTTGGTGAAAGGCAAATAAGAAATAATATCTCCAATAGTTAGTTGTTCTGGCAGAATGGATGTATCCAGGTCCCATCAATTAAATATTGTCATCTTGTGGGGCCTAGGAAATGTGTATAGTCCCACATTTGAGAATAGTGTTCTTCCAGAGATAAGGACGTGTCTTCTCTCCTTGGGTTCTGGAAAGACTTAAATCCCGGTTTTGTTCCCAGATCTAATGTTTGTTATTTTAATGGATACTGTCTTGTTTTGTGGGCTTTGTTAGAAGAGTATTTTAGTCTGGGCTACTGTTGATTTAATGTTTCTTGCTATTTGTATGTTCTTTAGTTTTGCACGCTGCCAAGACTTACTAGAGTTGAAGGCCAACAAATTGAAATAAATAAATAGTGCCTTGAGATAGTAACAAAACACCATTCATAATTAGGATTGCTTTTAAACAAAATATTTTTTTAATTAACATATTGGTATTTTACCTGCACTGCACTCTTCCCTAGAGCATTTTGGATTTCCCTTAGAGTCTGATACTGTTCCAGCAAGTGATCACCACATATTATGTCAACCTGAAATGAACAGAAAGAAATTATCAAATAATTTAGTACTTAGTAAAAGGAGTGTTCAAAGTAAAAAAGTATGTCCAATTAACAAGAATGATAACCTGCTAAAACTATTAACAATGAGCTTTATAACTTTCAGAGAAACTACACAATACCTGTTACAAGTAAGTTATTTTTAACTGTACAGTATTTAACTGGCAAATATTGTACTTTCTGTATTTGTCCTTTTTAAACTTTACCCTTGTTTTACATGCGTTGTATGGGCAGAGAAGTATCTTAAAACTCTACTTTCAGGCTAATACTCTTTCAGATGTTGCTAAATTTGTTAAAGATGAGCAGCTGTTCTTTGTTCAAACATAATTTAAATTTAACAATGGATGAGCCCTGCAACCCAGTTCTCTGTGGAATACTATTTCTTTCCACTCAGCTCATCATCTAGCATTAACAAGACCCAGAGGCACTATTTATTCACATGTAACTATTGCATGGCATTGCTTAATTCACCAAGCCGCTAAAAAAGAATAATGTGCAATGATGCAACTGAAACAAAAGCATGATCATTTGTTCATAATCATACCCTTTGCTACCACAAAACTCTTCCTATATCTCCAACTTGTTTATAGATTAGTGGAATTAAAACTTTCTATTGTCAGATCTGAGTTGTAGATGTATTTTCAATTGCTCTGAGATTACAGAAAATTTCTGCTTTAAGTTTTATGACACATTTCCAATGCACACAGGGAGTTAGAAGTAATGGACTATTTGCCCTAATCTTACTTTATATTCCTCTACTATTTTACACTTGATATATTCCTTCCCACTTTATATTCTTCTATCAGACACTGTATTTTCCTTTGTTCAGAACTGCAGAATAGCAACAGGCAAACTGTTTCTACATTGATTGATTGATTTTACTGATGTTTTCACCATTAAACTCTCAACAAAAATATTTTTAGAATACACTTTAAAAATAGCCAAAACAACTCTAAATTACTTTCTGGGAAATTCTAAAAACAGGTGGTTTATTACAATAAATATTCTCAGAACACTGTGATTTCTCTAAAAATCAGACTGTTGCTTTCAACCATTCAATAAAACAAAACAAAAATACTGAAAATATAATGGAAAACCAGAATAAGAAAACATCATTTTAATAATATAGGTAGTCCTTGACTTATGACCATTTATTCAGGAACCATTCAAACTAATGAACGAAGGGGCTTAGATACCCAAAGCTAGGGGTATTGCAGAACTGCTGGGGACATGTGATTGTGATGTGGACACTTAGCAACCCATACATACATACATGATTGCCAAGTCCCTGCAATCATGTGATCACCATGATTATATACATTTGTATATATCTGAAACAAACATATTCTGTTTGCCAGTCTAGAAAAGATTATGCTTGGCTGTATCTGACCTGAAATCTTTAAAAGACAGATTATGATAAAATGGAAGATGTAAAATTATCAGTCTTCCCAAGTAAACCATGATTAGATGAGCTAATTCTACTTTATTGTCAGGCTACATTAACAACATTTTGCAAGTCTGAAAATACAAACCACCTGCATAATTTTTAACAGTCTGATATATTAGAGTAGGTCCTTAAACGTTTCCTTCCTTGCCCATTAGGCAGATGCAGCCTCTCTCTTTTATTTGATCATTCCCTGAGCATCTTTCCCTCACATCCCTCAAAGTTATTCTCACCTACCATTAGAAAAATAAAACTGTTAATTTTTTTGCTACTGTTATCAACTTCAAATGTTAAAGATTTTTTCCAGTTGATTTAAATAAATGACTGAAGAATATTACAAACTTACTATGTTAAAAGTGCTATTTCAGGGTTAACTGTTACTTCTTCAGTACTAATTGCTGCAAGAGATTAAGTCAGTGGCTATAACTCCCAAAGGCTAAAGTAAAAAGTTCAAAACCAGGCTCTCAGTTTAATAGGCATTAACTTTTAGTACTTATTTTAACTGCCTGAATTTTTCATTTCTGTTATTTTGGTTTTTCCTACCTACATAATGCTTACAGAGAAAAGTATTACATTAAAATATGTGGGACCTCATTCATCTGTTTACTGCTATACACATCTTCTTGACAAACAAAAAAAGGTAAAAATATATAAATTATTGCAGTGTACCTGACAGCCAGGATCAAGATCCATCTTTCTTCTGAGGAATTTTTCCACATGTCCAATTGTTGCCTCTCCTGAAACACGTACAAACTTCTTTTCCAGTGGCTACAAGAACAAAGAACAGGTTAATTTATAGTTAATTCATTTACAGTGCAAATAGTCAATAGTTTTTACTGTTCATCCTTCAGACTTTGATAAGACAATCATTTGCTGCCTAGGTAAGTGGACTGCATTATAATACATAGCTCAGGTGCTATGTTGTCCTTTTAGCAAACAATTGAAATTGATTTGAGCCTCCAGATATGGAAAGTGGGCTCCAGCTTCCTGAGATATTTTTATTGCCCCAACAAATAATCAAAGCCCTTCACTTAGAGAAAAATGCCAGGAGTAGAAGACATACTATTGCAAAGGATAGAAGCAATAGTATACACAAGTTATTAAGAGAAGCGTACTGTCTAATCCTGTGAAAAAGAAGGGTTGAAAGATGACCAGGGCTAATGAAATTAACTGATCATTAGCCTTAATTTCTGAACACAAGGGGATAAATGATGCAGCCAGAAAAAATAAGAGGATTAAAAACAAATATAAATCTATAAATGAAAATGTGAAGATTCTGGTGATATTTTCATCTATCCTCTCTGTGGGGGTTGAACAATTATAAAGAAAAGCAGTAAACTGGAAGAAAGATTTGGATTTATGGACCATGACATATACCACTAATATAATAAGCTTTTAGGCAGATATATGCTGCATCCTACAAGGGCAGGAAAGAAATGTAGTTGCTAACATGTCAGGAAGGATTTAAACTAAACCAAAAGAGAAGAGACCCAGGTAGAGATTCATCTACAAAAGTGTTAGGCTTTAAGCATCATTACAGAAGTAGAATGCAGTAAATATTGTCTGGAAATCACTACATGATAGTACAGAGGAAACGACCGTTGACTTACCTGAATGGTCCTTCTATGTGTGCTGCGAGGGGAATCCAAGCATGGGTTAACTTTGTCCATTAGCCTAGAGACTGAGTTATGTAAACGTTGACCACGCCTCCTCTGACTGGATGGGTCAGTTTTTTACGAAGTCAGCTGGTTAACAACGTGTAGCAATGTCAATGATGGCCATAGCCAAACAAGCTTAAGGTCACATCCAGAGTATAGTCAAGTCAGTAATCAGGTAAGGAAAGTCATTGAGTCAGAGACTTAAGATAGCCCTGGCCAGCCGAAGCTGCGGGTGGGTTTGGATTCCCCTCGCAGCACACATAGAAGGACCGTTCAGGTAAGTCAACGCAATAGCAATAGCAATAGCAA